ATTCAGTTATTGTTAATTATCTATTGGTGTAACGTAAGTGGCTATTGTTCGGGACGAACAATACTAAGGAAGGGGCAGTGTTACGACAGCGGAAGTCACATGACGCTGTTGGTGTATGCGTGACTGAGTTTCTCAAATTATCAGGGAACTCCTCGAATGCTGTAGACGCCTCTTTGTTAGTATATAAGCCTGGCAGGGAAAAGCCAGGTGGTGATGAATATATGATAAAGCGAACAGTAGTCATGGTGCGTTTCGGGTAATTTACGATTCTGTTTCGAGCTAGTGTGTGTTTTGAACTAGTAGATAGCAAAGTTATCGAAATCGTGAGTCGCTGTGATTTATAGAGTGTATTATAAAATTCGTTAAGTTAAAAGTGACGAGAAACGTACTGACTATTGAATTACTGTGTAAAAGTTTGTATCGAGAAAGAATAAACTGGTTTAATCAAGAAAGGACTTGTATCGCTGAAGTTCCTCAGAAAGAATTTTTACCAGAAATTAACAAACAAGTGGATACCTGACAAATTGGTGATAGAGAGTGGGACGAAAAAAAAAAGATGAAAACGAGAAGTGGCAAATCAAGCTATTACTAAGATTTGATTGCAGCAATAGAAGAACAGCAAAAGAAACAAGAAGAACGAGAAAATAAACAAGAAAAGAAACTACAGTAGTGGTTGGAGGAAAAAAGAAAGAAATAAAAAAAGAGACTACATCAGTGGTTGGAGGAAAAAAAGAAAGAAATAAGAAGTGAGACAACAGCAGTGGCAGGAAAACCTGCAAAAGTGGCAACTCGAAGAACAAAATAAACAAGAGAGATTACAGCAGTTGTTGGAGGAAAAAGAATAGAAACAAGAAGAACGGGAAAATAAATAAGAAGAACAAGAAAGGAAACAAGAAGAGAGGTTACAGCAGTTGTTGGAGGAAAAAGAAAAGAAACAAGAAGAACGGGAAAAGAAATAAGGAGAACAAGAAAGGAAACAAGAAGAGAGGTTACAGCAGTTGTTGGAGGAAAAAGAAAAGAAACAAGAAGAACGGGAAAAGAAATAAGGAGAACAAGAAGAGAGATTACAGCAGTTGTTGGAATAAAAAGAAAAGAAACAAAAAGAGAGATTACAGAAATTGTTGGAGAAAAAAGAAAAGAAACAAGAGAGACTACAGCTGTGGTTGGAAGAGAAAGAAAAGAGACAAGAAGAGAGGCTACAGCAGTGGCATGAAAACCAGCACCAGTGGCAACTGGAACAAGAAAGGAAACACGATAAAAGTCTCCAACAACTACAGGAAAGTCAGCAACAGTGGCAAGAAGAATATATTGATCAGGGTGATGTACAAATAAAAAATATTAGTAAATTTCAAAGTGAATTAGATACATTAAAGGACGATTTACTGTCTTTTACACAGGGAAGATATATTAGATATGGACCTAATCAGACCCAGATCAAAGAAGGTCCTTTCTGGACCTTGCACCTAATCCCTAATGCAGACATCTTAAATCCTACCAGAAGTCACATTCCACACATGAGTGTCAGCAATAGGGGTGCTTTTGTACGAAGAAAGCCACAGGAATTCGATGGGAAGGCACGATGAAAAGCATACAGCGCACAATTTGAGCTACTGGCAGAAATGAATGGATGGACAGAGGAACAGAATGCTGTATATCTGGCAACGAGCTTGAAGGGACAACCACTGGAAATACTTGGACAGTTGACAGTAGCCGACTGACACAACTATAGAACACTGGTAGAGGCTCTGGAACTCAGGTACGGAACTCAAAATCAGTCCGAAGTCTACAGAGCTAGGTTTAGGACGAGAGTCCGTGCTAAAGGTGGAGAGCCTGCAAGAGCTGGCACAGGATTTGGAAAGTATGGCACACAAGCCCTACCCAACTGCACCACCCTATGTCCTCAAGCTGTTGCTGAGGGATCCATTTGTAGACGCCTTGGACAGTCCACAAATGAAGATACAAATAAAGCAAGCACTCCCCTCTACTATGCAGGATGTAATGGCCAGAGCTCTCAAATTCGAATCCTACGTTAAGTCCAGCACATAGGTACCAAAGTTGGTGCAGTCATCAGGATTCTAGGCCAGAAAAGGTCAGCTTTCCGAGAAGATTGAGGGACTTTTCTGGCACTGGAATAAAACTGGGCACAAGAAAGCTCAATGCTGGCAACTTCAACACAGGAAAGATGCCACAGCAGGAAAGGCTGCTACCCAGAAAGGTTGTTGGAATTGTGGAGAGCAAGGACATATGAGGAGTAGGTGTAAGAAGAATACTACCAATAAGTCAGCTTCAGGAAATCAGTAGTGGTTGGTGCTGAGGGATGCCCACCAACCCCCATCGTGAAAGTCCCAATAGCTAGGTGTAAAATGCCAAGCACACATAGTGTCTACGTGACAGGAAAACTGGATGGCCAAAGGAGCACCTTTGTCATAGATTCTGCATCTCAGCAAACCCTAGTGAGTATCAAGGTACTATTTCACAAAGAAGTACCAGAAGCCATACAGAAGCTCTGTGTTGTGACAGTACATTATGCAAGGTTGTGGGGACCAGTGTGGGTAACTATTGAGCTCATGGGCCTAAAGGACAGACATTGAAGACCCATGCATATTAGTGTTGGACTAAATCAGGTGCCATCAAACTGAAGTCAAAGTAACTGAAGGAGTTGATGATGGTTAAGTGGAACCAGGTATAGATATTAATGCAGAGCAGGAGAAAGACCAAGTTTTGAAGCCAATAATTGATTTTTCTACAAGCAAGTTTTTGCGCCCTCCTTGGGAGAAGGTGTCTAGCTTATGCCCTGTGAGAAGAACTATTGGGCACAATCGGACCAGTTGAAGCTTGAAAATGGTATTCTTGTCCGGAAATTGGAAACTGCAGATGAGAAAGTGACGACCTGGCAAACAGTTATACCGAGAAAGTTACAGAAAGTTGTGCTGCGTCAATCCCATGATAGTTCAACAGGAGGACATCTTGGAGTTAAAAAGCCATGTAGTCACCTATGGCAGAGATTTTACTGGATACGTATGATGGAAGATGTGAAAGAATGGTGCAGAACCCGCAGTGCATGTTGTGCAAAAAGGGGACCCAAGTATAAGGGACGTGCTCCACTTTTACCAAGTGGCCTGAGGCATATGCAATACCAATTCAGGAAACTAGAACTGTAGCTTCGGCTATTAGTGATTTCTTTCTCAGGTTTGGTATGCCATACGCAGTGCATTCAGATCAAGGCCGTTACCTTGAATCAGATGTGTTCCATGAATGCTGTAAGTTGTTTGACATACGAAAGACCTGGACAACGCCACTTCATCCACAGTCTGATGGGATGACAGAAAAGTAAACTTAGACACTGAGACAGTAATTGGCAAAGTTTTGTTATAGCCGCCAAGATGACTGGGATGTCTTACTTCCTCCACTGTCGATGGCCTATAGAACAGCAGAGCATGAAGCCACTGGAGCGAAGATGATGTTTGCTCGGGAACTTCGGTTGTCGGTTGAACTGATAACAGGATGTCCACCTTAAGAGTTGCCTGAAAATGGGCCAGAGTTTGTGAAAGTTTTATCTGAAAGGATGGATGATATTCATGATCAAGTGTGTTGAAAC